GAGATACTGACAAACTCAATGAATTCAAGATAGCTCTCAACAACAGGTTCCAAGCCTTACAAGATCTACTGAAAGAAGAAGAAACTACTATGGAGGACAACTGGAAAGGCATCAAAGAAGCATTAACTTCAACGTGTCAAGAGGTTCTGGGTCTAAAGAAATACCATCATAAGGAGTGGATCTCTATAGAAACTCTGGACAAGATCAAAGAAAGGAAGAACAAGAAGGCAGCAATAAACAACAGCCGAACACGAGCAGGAAAAGTCCAAGCACAAGCTGAATACATAGAAGCAAACAAACAAGTGAAGAGGAGCATTAGAGCCGACAAGAAGAAATATGTGGAAGAACTAGCAACGACGGCAGAAAAAGCTGCTAAAGAAGGGAATATGAAACAGCTTCACGATACAACGAAGAAACTAGCAGGGAAATACAGTAAACCAGAGAGGCCGGTCAAAGACAAAGAAGGCAAGCCAATCACTGAAATTCAACAACAGCGAAACAAATGGGTAGAATACTTCGAGGAACTCCTGAATAGGCCGGCTCCAATGAATCCACCGAACATTGAAGCAGCACACACAGATCTTCCCATAGATGTCAACCCACCAACGACGGAAGAAATTAGAATGGCCATCAGACAAATCAAGAACGGGAAAGCAGCGGGGCCCGACAACATACCAGCTGAAGCACTGAAGTCAGACATCGAAGTAACTACAAACATACTTTACCTTCTATTCAAGGAGATTTGGGAGGAGGAACAAGTGCCGATGGACTGGAAAGAAGGGCACCTAGTCAAGATTCCAAAGAAAGGAGATCTGAACAAACGTGAAAACTACAAAGGCATTACACTACTGTCAATACCATGGAAGGTCTTTAACAGAGTATTGCTGAACCGGATGAAAGATGCAGTAGATGCCAAACTTCGAGATCAACAAGCTGGATTTCGTAAAGATCGGTCATGCACAGAACAAGTTGCAACACTACGGATCATCGTCGAACAATCAGTTGAGTGGAACTCGTCACTATACATCAACTTCATTGATTATGAAAAGGCATTTGACAGTGTAGATAGGAGGACATTATGGAAACTTCTTCGACACTACGGAGTTCCTGAGAAGATTGTCAATATTGTCCGGAACTCATACGATGGACTACAATGCGAAGTCGTGCATGGAGGACAGCTGACAGATGCATTCCAAGTAAGAGCCGGAGTCAGACAAGGCTGTCAACTCTCTCCCTTCCTCTTTCTTCTGGTGGTCGAATGGATTATGAGGACCTCGACATCTGACGGAAAACACGGAATACAATGGACAGCTCAGAATCAATTAGACGATTTGGACTTCGCAGATGACCTAGCCCTTCTATCGCATTCACACGAACAGATGCAGATAAAGACAGCCAGTGTAGCAGCAGTCTCTGCATCAGTAGTCTTCAGCATACACAAAGGGAAAACCAAGGTTCTCAAATTCAAAGCGGAGAACAACAATCCAATCACTCTTGATAGCGAAACTCTGGAAGATGTAGAATCTTTCACATACCTGGGAAGCATCATCGATGACCAAGGACGCTCAGATGCAGACGTAAAGGTGAGGATTGGCAAAGCAAGGACAGCATTCCTACAGTTGAAGAACATATGGAACTCAAAACAACCGTCAACCAATATCAAAGTGAGAATCTTCAATACGAACGTCAAGGCAATTCTACTGTACGGAGCTGAAACTTGGAGAATCACTACAACCACCATCAAGAAGGTACAAGTATTTATAAATGGTTGTCTATGCAAGATACTCAGCAATAGCCTTCTGTGGGAGAGAACAAACCAACTTCCAGCTGAAGAAGAAATTAAGAAAAGACTATTGAAATGGATAGGACATACATTACGCAAATCGTCAAACTGCGTCACGAGGCAAGCCCTAACCTGGAGTCCTGAAGGGAAGCGAAAAAGAGGAAGGCCAAAGAACACATTGCGTTGAATAATAGAAGCAGATATGAAAAGGATGAATAACAACTGGAAGGAGCTGGAAAGGATTGTTTGGGACAGGGTGGGATGGAGAATGCTGGTGAGCGGCCTATGCTCCTTCACGAGGAGTAACAGGCGTATCTAAATAAGTAAGTAGAGATACAAATTGTTACTGTTTTAATGACACCGTCTGTTAAATAAGTTAATTGAAGGGGTTGATAAAATCAGACGTAAACAGAATTAATTGTAATGTGACATAATAATTCCCCCTACAAACAAAGATATATAAAAAATATCCGTGTTTGTAAAAACAATGTTAAACTGCACAGAATAACTATGATACACAGAAAATAGTGAACTATACAAAGTTATCATGTACGATTAAGCTACTGTGTAAGCTAATATCTGTTATGTATGTCTGAGCTTGCGTATATCTGTGAGGCCAGATAAAATAGTGATAAATTATCAAAAGGATATAGCATCATTTTAAAAGATTATACATATCACGAAGTTATTGGAATTACGTAAATTTGTAAATCGCTCACCATTCTCTCCCCTTACTTTCAGTCTAATGTCATCCTATAATATCTTATTCAGTGTTGTCCATATTGATCTCGTCGTTCACACCTCCCATCAGGATGGTATGGTCTTTTCGTGGCCAGTTCTCTACGATAAACTTTAGTCTCTCATAAAACTGATTTGTATTGTCTTCACACTTACCACTGGTGGAAGCATAGCACTGGACGACATTCATTGTAATCTCCTCCATTGTTTTCAAGGATGCTGTGATGATGGATCTGTGAGATTTCTATCCTGCGAATGCGTTTTGTGCTTGTTCGGAGAGTATGAGTGTCACTCTTTGTGTGTGGGGTATTTTCATATTCGTGGTGCAAATGTAATAACAGCTTTGTCGACTTTAGTCTTTCCTGTCTTGATTGTGTCCAGTGAGCTTGACTTATTCCGGGTGCCAAATTATGTGTTCTAATATAAGGGGGTTTGAACTGTGCTATTTACTAAAAATGAAAATAAGAGGGGTGTAAATTTCTAATAGTTAAGTATTAATAATGCTAAATCAGAGAATATGTAAAATATCCAACGGTTTACATGACGATCAATGTGATTACACAGTAATGTAACACATGTTCCACCTGTGATCATTTGACAGCGATTCTCTTTCGAACTGGACAGTTTATTCATGATCGGTTTACTATTTTTTAAGAAGAATCTTGGTATCTAAATTTGTCTCAAATCGATCTCAGTTTTATCCTGTTCACATTGTATATAGATTTTGACAGATCGTAACACTGCTGATAGTGACCGCTTCAAAGTTTCAATTATTATCAATATTTTTTTGAAATTAAAGTCTAAACCTTTCTTTTCCCTACATATGCCGAGTTTATATAAAGATATGTTTTCAAGATACTTTTAAAAAAAAATTGCTTATATTTGTTAACTTTCAACACATTTGAGTTTCTAGCTTCTCAAAATGAATGATTTTGTATCAATGGCTTGATATTCTTTGTCACGAAAGTGATCTGTAAACACTTAATAGGTTATCCTTCATCTTATTGACTTAAGGATTGAATATATATCTCACTATGTCTATAAACTACCAAGTTACATAAATACAAGCTTCTAAATATTCTCTGATATCAATATTTAACATTTCATGTACATAGTTCTCCGAATATTCCACTTTATCTGAAGATGTGTTGTAATAGTCAATAATGAGTGGTCGATTTACTTTATCTGATAAATTATATCTGATAGCATAGATTGTGGTCGCCATTCAGTTCGGATTCATTAAACTATCTTTCGATTTTCATAGCAAGTTATGATTTTATATAATGAAAAAAATCTGTTTATGAAATTTTTGAGATCGATGTGTGACCGAATTATGAGATTGATGAGGAATTTTCGATATAATCATCTAACATCTATTATATATTTTAAGGTCTGATGATATGTGTCTTCGTTCTATTGAATACGATTTGTACTCAGCTGTATTTCTTTTTCATTAAGTTATTGATACTTGAATAAAAAAACAACTTATAAGCGTGCTTTACCTTTCAGGTTAATTGTATCTATTCTGGTGATTAACGCGTTACCTAATGTGTGAATGTTAAAAATATTCTGTCCATGTCATAAATCCACAAATTGTTGGATATATATATCAGTAAACAGTAATTTGTGCTGGGTACATTACAATGTCCCAGCAAACACTATCACCATAACAGAAGTCCATCAGGCAATTATACTCATAAAAGCATTAATCATGTAATTTAAAAATTAAGGTAGTTAAATGTATCTATGTTGTTCTCAGAAGATTATTGATCTAATGAGGTTCAAATAAGATAGATCCTAGAGGTAAACACACATTTTTCAAAGATTTAATAATTATTCTAATATATTTTTATGTTCATTTATTGTTCACTGCTGAAATGAACTTCTAATCCTGCCTAAAGTAAAACGGTTCCTGTTACACATGCCGTTTACACCATTAATCATTTACTAATTTAAATTGTCAGCAAAGATTTATTAGAAATAATCCTTTCTTAGAAGTATTCAACTTTCGTTTTGATTGTCCTGTATTTTCATAGTCTGACAGTAACATTATAATCTGATTACATTTGTATTTGAAAAGTGTACTTTACTCAACACAGCCTAGTATTAAATAATAGTTGTTTGAGTTTCCCAATGAAATTACCTCAGTTGGTTCCTTCCAAAATCAACTAGGTACTTACATTAGGAAATGAATTAACCAAATAGTTTTATATCTTGACATCTAATATATTCCAAATGAATGAATTTAATCACGATTAAAGAATAAAACAAATTACATTTATGACTAATCGATAATGATTATGAGATTAAAGTATTGTTATATCTTCTAATTCCCCCCGTTCACAAATTCTGTAGAGAGATTTAGATTTATTAACCAATCAGATGACTTGAATAAAAATAACGGGATGTTGATTATCTTCAAGTCTAGTTTCCATGTTTATATACATATATATCAGCAAAATTAATCAAAAGTTGTAATATCGAATCTGTTTCATTAAGGATTTATTCAAATAAGATTTCTTGAAATACCTGAGATGCATATAATCTTTAAATGTCTATTTATTTCACAAATGATTACTTATTATTGTTTAAGTGATTCTGAATTAGCAAAAAAACAAAATTATTATTCTATGCCAAATATGTATGCGTTCTGTGAAGCTAATAAAATTTGTTACGAATTCGGACTATCGGTTGGTAAGCATTTGAAACTACCGGTATTTGAAGATTTACAGTATATTCTTAAAGATGCAAAACTTAAAACATTTTGGTTGGAATATAATGCATTATTTACACCACGTATGGCTGGTTTGATCACATGGCGATATCATGATATATCGATAGAACTAGCTAATTTGGGAGCAATGAGATCTACAAATCTCCCATTGTCTTACAATGATGAACGTTATTGCGTGATTCATAATAAAGAAGGTTTACTGGAAGGAGTTCAGTGTAATAGTGTTAATAATGTTATTTGTGTTGAATCAAATATACAACATGTCAATCAACTGATAGGCACTGATTTATCAATTTTATTGAAAAAATTCACCATTGAACAACGTGTTGATTCAAATTTTGTGTCAATCGATAGTCAAAGAGATGGCTGTTATGAACTGTTTACAAAGCATAGTACATACGATTGTGTTTTACAGTAGGTTTCAACTAATTTATTTGATATTTTAACATTATTCTTTTGTAATAAATATTAGCTATTTGCCGTTCGTCATTACAATTTCTAAACCTTATTTACTTTAAAAGAATACCGATCAATGCATAATTTTGACAAAATGAATTTAAAACTGACAGTAAAGATAGTATGTTTTTGGTGGTGTTTTGTTCTCTGAGCTGGATGGTTTAGTCTCAAAGATAGTATGTGTTTAACGCATCGAAAAGACTATTCGTTATTATAACTCTGTATTTGCCTCTATCTTTTAGTAATATCCCTGTTTACACTAATAAACTTCGAAAGATCATAATTATTTATTCAGTTTCATTAAATTACTTTCTACATTAGTGAAAATAGTGAAGTAATGATCAATCACAACTTCGGTTTGATCAATTAGCCTGTCGGTCATAAGGTCAACAACTTATTTTATGAACTGTCTTCCATTTCATAAGTTTAGGTTCAAAAAATTAACCTTATAAATAGTGAAAAGTCAACAGAGCAATGACCATTGGATAACTATTTAAACTCAGTCAGTCAGTCAGTAACAACGTAGAACTTCGTACGTACGTCCCTACATCAGTTCGAGTTGCCATATCACATTAGCACACAGATACAATTGTCGATTCAAATCCTATAGTGGTAGAGGTAGTAAAAGTATAATCAGTAATCGAAAACATTAGGGTTTGAAGATGTTATTCAAGGAGTATAATCCAGTGAAATAAATTTGGAAAGAGAAAAAATAAGGGATATGAAGAATTCAGAAGATTAGAATTTGAGAGAACACAAAGAGTGGATGCATCTGCGCCATTGTAAACGATTCTGAGCCATGTCATTCAATGTTTCTAACCATCGGTTGCTATCATCTCGCGGATCCCAACCAGATAGTCTCTACCTACCAACATGACTCAGTCCACTTGTCAGTGACTTCATGGATTTGTGCCACCTCTAGCTTTCTTCCAACCTACTCCTACACCATTGAACATCACACGTCGAGGCAGTCGGTGGTTGGGCATACGTAACACATGTCCCACCCATCTCAACTGATGAAGTTTCACTACTTCATCAATTGAAGTATTATTTAATCTAATTCATTAATAAACTTCAGTTTGTTTAGAAATAATCAGAATAACATGATAATTTATTAACAATTTTTAATTTAAATTTTAGATGTGCTGAAACTGTAAATTGTGTATCAGGCTACTTTAATCAATTGCAAAACCAATGTATTATCATTTTATACCATCATAGTTTATTACCCCATCAATATTCGGATTCTATAGCTCATTGGTTAAGATTTATACTTAATTATTAAATGTAATTAAATGTTAATTATTTTGTCAATGAACAAATTGTGTTTGATAATTTCCCTATGTAACCGATATCATTATCATACATCATTGTATTTACTAAATGTTATTATCTAACAAGACTAGTGACAGATAAATAAAGTTATTGCTCTGAATGTTGTTTTATATTTGCATAGGAAAGTTTGCTTAGGGAGTTTAGATTCAATTACAAACTTACAGTAGTTGGAGAAATGTTTTAATTTATCGAAAAGATGACATGCTAGTATAGTGTTTTATCAAAAGTGTACTTCCTGAACCATGAATGAAATTGAGTCAACGTGTTCAGATCTCGATACAGATATAATACATACAGATTATGAAGTTAAGATCCATTCTCTTAACTTGGTATGGCTCCTGATAAATGTTTTTTTTTCTGTAATTTGTGACATGTAATCGCCATTCAATAGTGTAATATCCGCGATTCTACTGGTTATATTTGGAGACGGTAACAATTGTAATTCCCATGATGTGAAGTGAAAATAAAAAGATTGGTGCAATGAAGATATACTGACTCTTCATAAATATGATAATGTCAAATCAAATACAAATATTTATTTGCTGACTTCACACATACGTAATCACTAAATGGTAAACACCAAATAGATGGAAAGATAAACACGGTTTCCGTCAAATACAGCCGAGGTTTACACAGAGTAATATAAAGAATATAGCTGTCACACCCGACGAAAGTTAACGCTTGTTATATTGAAGAAAACTCAGTCTTAGTTAGTGCAAGGCATATTGATGTGAAATATTGTCACACTGGAAAATATCATTTCACTGTCTTTTCCGTATGCAGGTAAGGTTTCCAGCTTTCGATTGGCCCGGCTTTGTCGAGATCTGGTCTTTTTATATGATGGCTATGTCTCATTCATTTGAGTTCACCCATTTCTACTTCATACGAAACTACTCCTATTTTTCTTCCCCCTGCCCGACATGCCCATTATGATCTGCAAGAGTGGAAATTTCACAGTTAAACTGCTTCACTTGGATGAAAAATTATGGCTCCGATGCAGCGTTTTTTACTGAACCACGGTTTATTAATTTTCATCCTACTTATCTTGGTATCAGACCGACTTTTTCGTCTAAACATATTTTCTGCCAACGACAATCCGTTCACTTTGTTGAACTCAGTATTAAGCGGCAACTTAGCAGGATTATTCCTTCTACCACTCCTCCCCCTTCCCTTTTTGAATCATTCTTTTAAATGAATAAATAAAAAGCTCCCTCTAAGAATTAGATTGAGCTTGAAATGGAGGGAATCTAAAAATTTTGAAACTATTTTTCTCTGTAGAACTTTTCACACTTGACTCAGCTGATGGAATGTTCCTTCATTACAATTTATAGTAGTTCAAAACTGTTGGTCACTTCTAGTTTTTTTATTGTGTCGCTGATAGACACATTAGGGATTGAGAAGACTTCTGACCATTTTGTGATAATGCATCGACGATTTTTTGAGGCAGTTTAATGTGCGAATTGGAATGTCTTTCTTAGTTGCGGAAATCACTACAAGTGGTTTATGGTCTGTGAACAATTCGAAATGTAGACGGTGGAGTATTCTATGGGACTTCACTTATGATTTACTGTTTCACCCCTGACTTGGATTGTAATCTTTATTGTTAACACTTCATATGTAACTGCTATTAGCTCATAAAAAGTGTTTTTGTGTATTCGTATCACGGCTCAGTTATTACTTTCAAACAACAACCAGTAGGATTTCGTGTTGACTTTGTCTCCCGTCTTCTGTTTTGGTAGATTTGTCGAATGACTAGCTAGGTTGAATGTAGTTGCATATCTTAAATTCTCTTGATAGTCTCACACAACAGGACTGTGAATTAGGCTAATTAACCAAAAGCCTATATTACCGTAGTATACCGAGGACCTACACCGTGTTTTAGGTAACATGATATTATAGTTGAATTCATGAGTCAACTAAAGCTAGACCACCATCGGGAATCTGTAAGCACTGGACGGTCGTTGCTTCCTAATATGGAACTCCTCAGCAGTGCTCATCCACGATCCCGCCCCGCGAGGTTCGAACCCATGACCTATTGGTCTCGAGCGCGAACGCCTAACCTTTAGACCATTGAGACGGCATCCAACGGTGTTAATGTTTAGCTTCAACCAATCCACGAAATTGAGCTACCGTCCACCATTGTCGAAACGGTCGTCCAGTGCTTCCAGGTTTTCCATGGTGATCTAGCTTCAAGTAACTCATGAATTCAACTATAAAATTACTAAAATCTCCACAAAACCCCTTCTGATAATAACATGATTCTGATCAACGCTGCATAGATTTCACTGAATGTTTAAAAAAAACAGATACATAGAAAGATATTCTGAGATAGCTTCAGGAAAATATGATCAATGAAAACTTTCGAGAGTATTTTTTTCATTTTCAACTAAATGACATGAATTTTAATATATAATAATAGTCTGTTGATTAAGAACAAAGATTATCCGTTTCATATTGACTGATTATAGATGAGCCAGTGTATTGAATACAATCTTAAATTTAGCATATTAGTACATCCCTTAGACAATTAAAGTAGCCTGATTGTATATGTTCAAGTAAAAGTCAAATGAAATATACATACAGATAACCTTGTTGACTATTGCTTTTTATATACTAAATATTGATAATGTTAATTGTACTAGACAAAACAAAACATGAGAATTCTGAGAAAAATATTTCAGGTGTTCATTTTCAACTGTAACCTCATGGTTACTCAGTCAATAAATAAAAAAAATTATGTAGATAAATGTTCTTTTATAAAAAACAATAACAGTTCAGTATTTTGAATATTTTAATGTTTAATTAATATTCTAATATGATGGGAACCAAAAGTAAAATGTGCTCATAGATAAAATAAATTCATATTCAGTATTAGTTTGGTAATATTGTGGTGTGTGCTACTTATATTGACATAAGTAGTATATGATGTTAGTCGTGAACAGAAGGTCTGGCAGCAGAGAGACAAGAGAGTCGAACAGTAAAGAATGGAAACAAAATGCAATTTATATGAAAATGCAAGAACAATGAAGTCTGAGTTATTTTGAGACAATCGATGGACATTTTGCAAATTAAGCATTTACTTTATGATTGTTAGATTTTATTAACATAGTCCTGTAATTTTGTTTTAAATACGTGTTCTGTTTACTACGATACGAATATTTTCAGTTTATAGTGAACTAGATAAAAATAAAGTAATAAGTCTTTATTATTATTACATAATGCTAATGGATTAGTGAGTTTTTATTTCATTCAATAGTTTACAGGTTCTAAGTTTGAACATGTTGACAAGAATTCAGATTTTAATCTATTTCTGAAAATTTATTGAGATTTTTTATAATACTAAGTTGACTATCACGAACATACATTACACTTGTAGTAGGCGTCGAGTCACGGTTGACTATGGTCACTACTACAGATCGACTACGTGCCAGTTACCAGGTTAGATCTCTCCGTAGGCCGAATACCAGAAGGTGGTTTAAGTCTTTAGTTGAGATGTATTTGTTGGCTATCTTATGATATCGAAATAATACTGAGATGGTGCCAAAATCTACAAGCGATACTACTGAGCGTATGAGAGTTTATGCAAGGTCACAAACAGCCGAAGAGTGTTTTTTGGTATACTTAAGCAAACAGGTATAATAAAACAAGCGCTAGTACAGTTGGTTATAATAATAATAATTGTTTCCATTATACCAATCGCGTTCTCTTCATGAAAGTAGGTCACTACACACTCTTGTAGCTAAAAGTTCTTGGAAAGTAGCTTGTTCAGAGACGTAAGATAGGGACATATTGAGGGAGAGTAGAAGTAACAAGTTTTTAAATGGTTGTAAATTTAAAAAGTTACTATTTCTTAACTGTATCAGTAACTGGTGCCTTAAAACATACAGTGAAGTTAGTATTTATCATTGGTGCTAACTTTGCTGGTTTAAATGGACTTATCCAGCTGAAGGAGCTTAATCAAGTTATCACTTCTCAGTAGGTTTTCGAACTAGTTGGATAAATAGCTGAGTAGTTTCGAGTTAGTTTATGTCTGTGTGCTATCAAATACATCATTTTTTCCGACTGTTATGTTTTTCTTTTTTGTTACTATCTATGTAGTCAACTTGCTGTTCTTGAGAATAACGTGAAGAAACAGTTGGTGTCAATCACGTCCGATTCTACCATTTATATGGTTTTTTATAAATTTGAAAGAACCAATGAATAAAACCACTCTTACCAAATATATTATGATAAATTTAATGCACTCGACAGTGGATAACGTGCACGATAAATGTACCTAAAACCGTATTTCTCTAGTTTCCTTTAAAAGCATATTTTACCAGTGAATAATTGATAAATTAATCAGTATCTGTTAAGTCTTTTAAGCCTATAAAAGGTCAAATGATGACCAGTCGATCACCAGATATTTTACAGTCCGAGCTGTAACAAATTTTAGACTCAATGGTAAATTGTCGGAAAAACCCAGGGAGAACCATTTTGGAATATAATAGCGACAACTGTGGTATTCCAAATTGCAAACTCTGACAGCTAGATGATTGTACGAGACGATGGGTATTTAACTGAATTTTACCGAGAGCGACCAGGTAATGTAGTTGTAAGACTTTCAGTTAGCCAGGGGATAAGTCCTTTGTTGTTCTCTCAACCAACTAAAGGTGACCCAGTGTAGTCAAGAAGAACACAGAATAAATCCTAAGAGTTGGAAAGCTTTGATAAGAGAAAAATAAATATTCTGGTAATGAGGCTAACAGTATTATTAATAAGCAAATTAATTGGGTTGAATCACTCATTATTAATAATAATAATAATGATAAATTTATTCAATACTATGTGTTCAATACAATATGGAATTCTTAGAACTTCATAATTCAATAAGTTTCTCTTACTCTTCTTCTATCATCAAAAATACATCTTGTGGAGATAGGTCTGGCAAGCTTATTTTGTAAATAATTTTTAATATTATTTGTATTTGTTTTGTCAATTTTTCACTGTATGTACATTCATCATTAAATGACTGTACGTGTTGTTTTAGTGAATGACCTTGACCACTTTTTCCGTTGTGATACTACATAGCGTGACATATCGTTG